ACACGAATGTTTAAAGGTCTATGGGTTTGGGGGGCCCAAGAATGGAGAATCAAATGGAGAAGACAATGGAACGTTAGATGGAAACTACTATAGGGTTCAGAGGTTTAGGGCTTAAGCGTAGAGTTGTGGGTTTGCAGTTTAGGGTTTTAAAAGTAGATGTTTCTTCTTGCTGGTTGTTAACCAGAGAAATGAAGGAATGAATAGGAAAATGGAGACAACCACATTTTTGGGACGATGTAGGAACTACCTGAGGGATCCATGTCTCCATTCCTTGCTAACATCCAGCAAATCTCGGGCTGTGGGATTCTGTCTGCACAAGGTCCAGCTCGAGGAATCATAGGGATCATGCACCCGAAGGGGGGCTTGGGTTCCTAGAACAAGTGGTCCTGCTTAAGAGTTATTTATTGCTTGCAAGCTGGGTGCGAATCAGTGTGGGTTACCGAAAATAAAGTGTGGGCGCCTTTTTTTTGGGGGGGTGGGTGGCAGGGAGTTGCGAGGGTTTTACGCTTAATTGGAAGTTGATCAACTTTCCAAGCTGTATGGGGGATTGCGATTGAAAGAGGTCAGCGCCTAGTCAGTCCGGAAAGCTTGGGACCGCTAGCTTAGGAAAGGCGGTTGTACATTTTTGCGCCGGGGACGTCAGGCCTGCCCAGTAGAATTTTTTGAAAGCTCTGCCGCAGTTTGCGGGAATGACAATGGAGGGGGGACTAGTAAACTTTGCTTGACATGAACAAGGCGAGAAAACCTCTTGACAAAAGCTGAAGTGCTGGTACTGTTGCTGCGCGCCTCCGCGCACGCAATACTAGCACCGGAATCGGCACCAACACCACCACGCCGCCACCACCACTGCTGCAACCAACACGATGCCAAGCTTGTATAGCTTCTACCGAAGTAGCTACAACTCCTACCAAAGGACAAGTGAAAGAACTGAAAGAACTGTCCCGTACCCACAAGCAAGGCAATCGTATGCACCTCTTATTACAACATAACTGCCAACACCACACAATATTTCTGAGATACGCCAGAACCTGGAGACCCTAAACCTTACATTCCCGCTTCGTCCGGCATGACGTCCAAAGGGAGCTCAGCCTCAGCTGCAAAACTCTTTGAAATCAAAACTTACTGGTGGTTAGTAGGGAACAAAGGAAGATACTATAGGGCTGTATAGGGATTGTATTGTCTTCCCTTATTCGGTACTCACCGCCAGTAAGGAAATGGAACACACAGGCTGATGGGGCAGGGCTTCGGGTAAAAATGTTTTTCCCTCCGGACCTTCCAGAATCGCATCCAGCCCACTGCATCACTTCCACCGTCACCAGAAAATCTATCAGCATCTTACTCTCAGTTCAGATGTTGGGGCCATTTGTATCAAGACTCTGCGTATCGCCTGCCTCAGCGTTGGCTTGGGCAGTTGGACAAATGAAGTTGCTGTTCGTCAGAATCGTGTATGCTGCTTATCAGCCCCCAGAAGCCACCGCGAACTAGACACAGCATGACCCTAGCACGAATTGATTGTCGTAATTCAGGTATGTAGAGGGAAGGAGCTGCATCGACAACTACTCAGCCAAGTATTCAGGCTCTGGGGTTATAGAAATGAAGGGATGGAATCGCTCAGCACTAGACCCTAAGTGCCAAATCTGTTGCTGCAGTACATTGACCTGTCAGGGAATCTGACTTTGCTCCGAAATGATTACCAATATCATTCTGAAAATTATTCAGTACCCTGTACCATAGTTATGAAGTACGTAACCTGGGACCATGATGGTGGTGAGTTTTCTAACCTCTACACTACTCTTCCCTAGCTCCCAATCAGTGCACTGTTGGATGTTTGGACTCTTACTGTATGTATGCTTTCTACCTGGAGAACACTGCTAGCTGCCCTTCTGACCCAGTACCATACTTGCTACCCTGCTAGGAACTACTTTGCTGAATGCCCTACAAGTTGGCCTACTTATGACTATCCAAGGTATCCTGCAAGAAACGCACCTTTTTCCGTGCAACCACTTTCCAGCTCCGACCAACGCCACGCCGGGCTGTCTGGTATAGATTAGGGTGCAGGATTTGGGGCTTGCGATGCAGGATTCAGGGTTAGGGTGTAGGCCTTGTAGGGCGTCTTCGGCGCTGAGCCCTCCCCTAGCTCACTGTCTCTGCTCATGCAGCTGTCGAGGCGTGTGTATTCCTGCAGGTGAATTTGCAGGGGTTCTGAGGCCCTCAGATTCTTGGGCTGCTTTAAAATGGGTAGTTTCCTTAAATGGGGAGACCTCAATATAGACCTTAATTCTCTAATACTCTAGTCCTTATTATAGGGACCCCCAGAAAAGTGCCCCTACTTTTGGGAAACCACCAATAGCCCTGAACCCTAAATCAGCACAAAAACCGGTGGGCAGCCCCGCTGAAACTGCAAGTAATCCCGCAGTGCTTAGTCGCCTTTGGATTTAACATGTCGTTATGAATCTCTTTGGTAGACCACCCCATCCTAAACCTCCCCCCTTCTGGTAGACAGCCTGAGCCCACAACCCTACCACTTGCATGTCTATGTCCATGCAGGAAGATCCGTCAATGATGAAACCTATATGGCCTAGGGGTATAAACCCCTGAGCTCGCCTTCTACAAGCTGGTCCACAGATGAAGCGTGTTATATCTGGAACGCCCAAGTATTTAGAATAATTGCCGTTTAGGCCATTCCAGTGGATTGTGGACCATTTGTCCCCTCCCTGCTTTGTTTCCTCCGTGTGGGGTCCAGGAAACCGCCAATGATTGGCATTGAATGCATTTACTCAGTAAGCCCGATGAACCTCCAATGAGGCTCGCCGGCCGGTGATCTAAACAAGCCCTAAGCGTCCAGAAGACCAATACATAATGGTTGCAGGTACCCAAAACCCATCAGATTATATTCGGGACCTAAAAAGGGTACTCGGACACTCTGAGAAGGTCAACTTGACAAAGGCGATGTATCTGGAGCTCCTGACTTGCTTCTAATTGAAGAATACGGCCTGCTCTACCGCCACCCGAAAAAGGAACCCGAACTTTTAACCGAGCCTTGGAGAGAAACCTCTTTTTTTTTGCGCAAGGCTTATAGGGCTATGACGTCGTCCGCGAATATTTAGCCGCCTGCTGGTTCTTTCGGCTGGCTGATCTGTCAGTTGAAATATGCTCTTGCCTACGCCCACTGTGTACCAAGAAAATGCTACATAGGTCATTTGCCAATTTTCATATGCTTCGGCTACAGCGCTTCCTATGCCAATTCTATGCTAATTGAGAAGCAACTGCGTTAGCGCCGCGGGGTATCCCGTTTGCTTGCTGGTTAAGCGGCTTCCTACTCAAGGCCATACTTTTATCAGTGTCATGTCATAAGGTACGGCGATGCAGTCCCCTTCTTCTAAGGCGGATGCACCTTGAGAGATGGCCAATGTTCAGAATTTTATCCGTTTTCGCCGCACGGTGATATATTGAAGCTGATGGCTCCACCAGTAGTACCACAAATGCTAACAAACATACCTTGCCACTTACACAAGCGAAGCTGCTGATGCTGGTACAAACTACCTGTACGTGTGAGCAGGCGGCCATAGATATCACTGGCCGGGATTCGCAGGGTGGCGCTGCATGTTTGCAAAGGAGAGTTGGCCGGGTCAGTATGGCTGCCGGAGTGCCCATCTACATTGCAGGACGCACCATGTCAGGTGGACGCCAAACTCCAAACAGGTTACCGCCAATTTCACGTGTCACCACGTTGTTACTTGATGTTGCCAGAGATTGGTCATGGACCACTCCACACAAATAACGATGCATGCCTCGACATGTCCACAGAGACACAGATTAGTCAGAGTGTTCAAGCGGTGGCTATCGGGAAATATTACCTTTTGAGATAAGAAGCTCGATGGGCTCCTTCTGCTCAGGGTCGGCAATCTTCAAAAACCCTACACATCAAGACACCAGCAGAAGTGGATGACCAACCTTAACCTCAGAGCAGACGAAGATCAACCCTGCCTGAGCTTCGCACGACACGATAGGTTCTGAAAACAGTGGTTCCCTCAGGCTTTCATGGAGAGAGAGGACTTGCGAAGGGGAGTAATGAAGTCCCTTCTCAGGTTGTGTCTGGGTGTTTTGGAAGCATATGCCGCAGCTGCAAGTTCGACTTCACCCCGTGACCCCGGTGGCAGGAACTTGCCCTTGAGCTGGCGCGGCGGTGTGTCAAAATCTGAGTTCCGTAAGAGGCTAACATTTTGAAACATCCCGGCTGCAAGTTGCAAACTCGGGGGAAACGGGCGACTGACGGGAACGGGGAGGCTAAATGGCAAAACAGGAAAGTCCGAATACCTGAGAACCCTGGCGCCACATAATCACTAGAACCTCATTTTGGAATATTCCTGATAATTCTGGCCACCTAAAAAGGATCCAGCTTTTTAAATTCCACATCACCCAAGTCCCTTGGCCCGATCCTTCCCCCTACTGAGGTCAACTTTTGCTGGCTTCAAGCTCGGCATGTGCCAGGCAGGTTCAAGGTTAAGGGTTCAGGGTTTGAGGTCTACAGGGCTTGTGCTTTGGAGTGTAGGTTTAGGGTTCAGGGCTGCTGGCTGAGTGTCCGTTCGGTCTTGATAGATTCGGAAGCAGTAAAGGCCTTCCTGTGAGTCTGAAGCCGTGGAGAGCGTGAAACGCTACTGGGACCCCAAGGCCCACCTGAACTTTTATAAGTATTCACGTACCATTTTGGGTGCCAGAAAAGATCCTGATTTAAAGAATAAACCTTTGCATGTGGATTCAGGCGGCTTTCGGGTCCTTGGGTTCTTGAGCTGCAGGCCTCCCTTTCAAGCTCGCGTGAAGGCAAGAAGAGGGGCCTCGCCTAAGCGGGGCCGGCTCATCAACCGGCTGACCCTTACGTGCCTGTGGGTCCTCCAACCTCCTACCAGTTCAAACCATATGCTTTGTAAAGCAAATGTCTGCGACGAAATCAGCTCCGCTTTTAAGACACTATACGGAGGCATCCTCTTCTTGCCCTTGACTCACAGGCGTCCGCCACGGCTGGACGTGTAGTTGCCCCTGTCTCTGCTATCCTCTCGACGGCGGTCATCCCGATCGTCGCGTCGCCGGTCGTCACGGCGATCATCGTAGCCTTGGCTGCGGATGCACTCAATTTCTTGCAGACGATCGATCTGGTTAGCTTGTAGGCTTGGTAATGTAAAGGAGCATAGATCTGGGGTGGTAATTAGCCAAACACGAAAATGTGGCAGCTGCTGGAAGCAACACACCATGACTCCGGGATTCAGATCTCGTGTCTTTTTCAGCCAGGAGGTCAGCAACTCGACCCCTCAAGAAACTACACAGAAAGGGAACCGAACCAAACGGCTTCCGAGCGGCTATGCCTATCATCGCGTCGGTCATCCCGTCGGTCATCATATCGACCCCGATCGTCATAGCCCCTATCATCCCGGCGTCTGTCATCGTAGCGGTCGCGATCTCGGGGCCTGTCATCCTTAGTTGCGGCCGTCAATCTTGAACAGCTTACATACATGCTTCGTTGCCGAGATCTGCGTTTGGCGTTTAGAATAACTCTTGAAGAATGCACAACCGCCCAAATCAGCATCCCTGCACTTTGGCCCTGCAAGCAACGCCTGAGTGCTAAAGTAAGTAATGAAGCGGGGCGTTAACAAGAAGCATCACGGCGACATGGCGTTGATGGTTACAATGGTTTCCTTGTTTATAATGTGGTTGTCCTGTTCCTATACTCCGAAAGTCTTTGATAACATCAACTCCCCCAACCCCAAAATTCTCCACCATATCGCGACGGGCAGCATAGATCATGGACCGGCTTCCGCCGCCACCGCCGCGGGCGTTTCGCCGGCCGTTACTCCGACTGCGGCTACGGCTGCTGCGCCGTTGGTTCATCAGCTCCCTACTACCTAGATGAGTCGAAGGTTCAGGGCTCACCATTCAGGGTTTAATTAAGGTCCAGGATCCAGGTTTGGAGCTCTCGCTTTTGGATTCAATGTTTTGTGAATTTGGGAACCTCGGGAGACATGAAGATCACACATGGACTATCGGGGCGGCAAAATAATTCTGAGAAGCTCCCATACAAGTTCGGTCTTTTTCGACCATCCCTGGGAACCTGAGGGATTGTTGTTGTTGTTGTGACCTATTCTAGGAGCCTGGGGTCAATTGAAATGGGCATGTCGGGCAGCTGATGTTGGGGCTTTTAGGGGGTCCCCCTAAAAAAGGATCGCGGAGTATGGCCTCCGAGCCATATATGAGTGAACCCAGATTTCAAGGAATACCCACAATGGCTTTCAAATACTTGCGCATACTTGCGCAGTACGCGCCGTCAAGCAACAGATTTAACACCCCCCTAACCAGGCCCAATTGCACGAATTTGCCAGGCTCTCCACCCTTTAAACAGCATTGCAGGCAACGCATCAAGCTCCGAGTATTCCAATGGATGCACCGTTCATGGATGTTGGACACTTAAGCACATGTCGTTCATAAGTATACGTCTGCACTAGCGACTAGGGATCCTGAGGAAATTCCGCAAGATTTTCAGATTTTGATCCCTTTAACCTCTACCTAAACCGAAAACTCTTAGTATAACCCCTACATAACGCTATTATACCATAGTAGTTTCCATTTTATTTTCCATTATCCCTACATATCCCCTATACAACCCCCTAAATCCTGAAGACCGTCCAGCTACCGCCCCCACCACCAGTCTTGCGCTGCTTCTCTGCCATGAAGATGTCGCGACTTGTATAGCCCTTGCGCTCATCTGCGGTGTTGTCCTGGAAAGCAGCGTGGAAGCATCTGCTTATTTGGGGATCCAACAGACCATGAAAGGATGGCGGCAGGAGTTTGCCTTTGAGATTGGTCAGAAGCTTGAGGAAAGGTCCCGCGTATGTTGCAAACTGTCAGTGAATATTTGCTTGCATTCATGTCAGAGGGACCGTGGGCATCTGAACCGAGCTCCAATCCAAGAGAGAAGATACCCAGGGCCTCCTCTCATCAGGGGCCTCCCATGAAGCCAAGGCCCGTAGAGCTACTTGGAGGCCCCTGGGTAGTGGCTATCATAACCTGATTAGAATCGAATTAGCAACCCAGATACAACCTTTCAGGGCACACTAGGAGGCCTACAAGTGGTTTGCAGAAACCATTGTGAGTAGGTTATATTACCCCAAGACCTCCAAAGACCCAGTAATACCGTCCCTATAAATCCCGCAGTAAACCCTAAACTCCACACCCCAAACCCTCTTCACTCTAAACCTCATTACCACAAATTGCCTTTTTTTATGCTCGTTCCATGCTTTCTCCACTACCAAAATCCCCAAGTAAAGGGCAGTCCGAACCTTAATCTTTGTAGGGCTGGGGTCAAGTAAAGAAAAAATCTATATGGCGCCTCCCTTAGCCGAGGTCCAGGCAAATTTGGGTTTAGGGTTTCGGGTATATCCCTATTAACCCCAAGTTTCCATATCAGTCTTCCTTTGACTCTCCATTATAATAGGTCCCATGCTCTTTTCCATTGTTTACGTACTGCTTACGTACTATGTATACTTATATAATCCCTCTGTAACCCTAGTCATGTCATGTTACAGTTGATTGTTCATTTGATTCTCCATTACGAAGTTTTGACCCGCCAGGTACCTAAACCCTAAACCCTATATGAACCCTAGACCCTAAAACTTATATGAACCCCAGACCCTAAATCCTATATGGACCCTAAACTCCAAAACCCTGCGTGAACCCTGAACCCGCCATCCTCAACCCTACATAAACCCTACACCTTTTATGAACCCTAAACCATAAACCAACAAAAACCCACACACACCCTAAACCCTAAAAACCCTACATGAGCTACTGTCTAAACT